TCAGAATTTAGAGCGTCTTGCATCGCCCCCGCGCTCCTAGTTGCCTAAGGACCATTTACTCCGAACAAGACTCAATGGTACTTGAGTATCTGCAGTTCAAATGCATGTCGCATCATTTTATCCAAAAAAATAGGAACGCTTCGCTTCATTTCTACTATGATTATATAGTCAAATATTGTTTGTACTTATATTTACTACGAGGCAAATGTTTTGCTCCTGATTGTCTCTGTGCCGAACGTTAATAAGAACTTGGGACGACCACCAGAAAGCCTATCTCACACCGGGTCATGGTAACTTTGGTGCGTGTTCGCTAATATTCTGATCTACAAGACGCTATATCTGGTGAAAGACTTCTCACTGTTGACGATGAAGTTATCATCGGGTTTCACTGCACTCGTTTCGGCCGAATCAGCTGACTTGATTGTAAGGTACATATGATTCAGAGCATTAGCAGACGCCTTGCACGGGCTGCAGCGGTGATCTTTCGAAGCCACCGAAGTCAGCGAGGCTACGTCAAGAATCAAAGATGCAATTTCTTTAATAAAATCTGGCAATCTGCTAGGAATGTTTTCCTAAAAGGTACATACCATGTAACATGGAAGCTTATGCCTTTTTCTTGCGGAAACAAAAGATATATACGCACACATAAACGAGCCGTTTGAAATTATCTTCTAACGGAGACCAATGCCACTATTTGTCTCTATCAAGAAGTGGCTTGCCAATTTAAGATCTACGACAGTCTTGTTTCTTGTTTTGCCGGATGAGACTGGCGACAAACTCCTTGAATCTGTTTCTAAATTATTTGAATGAAAGAACCTGAATAAAACAGTTTCCTTCCGCAGAGGTTGAGAATTTCAGAACCTTAGCACTTCGTTGATGAGAGTCCAACTAAGTTCACATCGTACTTTGCTGCCTGATCATCTAGTCCCTGCTTTTGCAATCTGTGTGAGGAGATGTTCCAGTCTCCGTTACCATGGAAAATATAAAATTTCCGATATCGCTGTTGTGAACAATTATTTGACGTTCTGTGATGGCATTTCGTAGTCTGCCTCCTCCGGTCAGAATGAGTCGCAGTACGGCATAATGGCACTTGCTCAGCCCAGTGGTGGTGTTCTGATCGAATCCAACCTCGCAGATGGATTCTACTATGACAAGTTAGATAAGGTTCCAGTGGGACGACACCGCCTAAAGGAGGCTATAGTCTAAATATTGACTCAGTGCAGGAGTTAGTTAATGAGGCCGTAAGGTAATGACTCGACATAGTTGGACTCTCGTCAACGAAATGCCAAGGCTCTGGAATCCTGAACTTCTGCTGGTTGAACCTATTATTCTCAGTTGTCGATACTACTACGCGCGCTAAGGTCGGTATTGATGTTCTGGCAGAACTCAACCTGGCTGATAGAATTGATTGGAAACCTGTCAGCAGAATAATGTCAATCCTTCGATTGAAGCCACAACAGGCGAAGACGTTGTCACAAATTTATGCGCCCAATTTAGAGGGAAAATATGAGTCCTTTTTTGAGGAAGTGAAGTATGTTCTGTACGAAGTGTCGACTATGGAGTTCCTCATTCTGATTGGCGATTTAATGCGCATGTCGGAGTAGTCACTGAAAAGTGGAAACATCCAATTAGGAAGAACGATCCTATAAACTTCAGTAATATCGGCGTGAAATTATTACGCTTTTATACAGCACGAACTGAATATTATGAACTGATTTTCAGAACATCGAAACGGCACATGCATTTTTGATAGGCTAGAGTTTTGCAGAGAAGTCGACGATCCATTTGATAATTGTATCTTCTGACTAATAACACTCCGCGATGGATCTTCGGGTTAAAAGGGGCATAGAGCTGTCAACCAGTCATCACCTTGTTTGGCAGTCATTGTTGCGAACGATCGAGTGGTGGCCCTTTTTACTATAAGAAAACCTAGCGACAGAAGCAACTGCGGAATTAAATGAGAAACATTATCTTCTGCGGTCACAGGGGAGAAACTTGCAAACGAAATGACACGACGGTTTGAACTGATCACGACGATGGCAGCTGGTGTGGAAACCGAGTGGAAGCTTTTTAAAAACGGATTATTCGGGGCTGCCGCCAAATGCTGCTGTTTCAAGCGGGTTGGC